AACGGCCAAGCTAATGAAGTAAATAAAAACTGAGGGCATGCAGAACTTCACAGATTTGGGCTCTTCTCACTGACGGGCTAAAAGAGTTAAGGGCTGAAATCCTACACGAGGATTTCACTTCATACCCAGTCTGTGAGAATGTGGTCTTTTTGATCCAGTATCGAAGGGCACAATCCTGCAAAACGCTGAGGACTCTGGCCAGATGCTGCACAGCACCAATGACGTCCCTCACTCTAGGCATTGCAAGCAATTTCACTGAAATCAATGGAACGCCTGACGGCCTCGCCACCTTTCAGGATCCAGCCCAAAGTCAAGTATTTGCTTCAACAATAGCCCCAGTGGGGTGCATGGCAGAGTGTTATGTAAATCAATACATCAATAAAATAAAACAGCATCTTACTAATGGCTACACCCACTCATAGAAAGTGGTTTCAGTCACGTGTGATCGTGCCCAAATCCGATGTTACGTTGTGTGCATTTCCTTGCAATGTACAGTCATATTTCCTATAGCACGCTTCACTCGGACGCATACAAAATTATTATTACATGCTTTTCGGGGGGGGAGGGGCCGACTGTGTCACAGAGAGTGGAAATCATGAGTAACTGAAGCTGCCCATGCAAGTATCAGAAAAGCAATTTTAATGGCATTACTTAAAAGCCCTCCTTGATACCCCCCCCTCCACCACACACACACGCACACTTCCCCTGCTAGAAGAATCTGCTGCTTCTAAGCCATGCAAATGATAGAAGCTTCAGATGCCAACGCCTTAGCAGGCAAATATCACGATCAAAAAGAAAGACTCAAAAGCCACGGCAGGGAACTGCAGAGCTGCCCAAGGGCAGCAGTTCATGTTAATGAGCTTCCTCCCTCCCACACGCCAAAGCTTCAAAACTAATAAGGCCCTAGTTCTGCAATAAGCTAATCCAGAGCTCCCTTAATGTCACTCCATGTGGCTATAGAGTTCACCCATGCCTAACATTAAGACACATCAGAGCGACTGGTAGGGCTGCTGGACTCCTTCAAGTGCCATATTTAAGGAAAGTCAGCACGTCTGCACAGGATCACATAGAGGGAATGACGGTGGGGTGGGGGAGGACCATACTGAATGGAGAAGACCTGTGCGCACTTTGCTGCCCAGGTACATACACATGGTGTACATTTCAGGCATGCACCTCAGAATCCTCTCTCTAATTCTTCCTCACACCGGCATTCCCAAATGAAATCGATACAGCTATTTACGGGATTAAGGACTAACTCACAGGATGGCGAGTTAGCAAAGAGCGAGCTCTTAAACTGCGGGGGAGGAGTCATATCAGAAAAGTGACACTTCCACGAATCCCACAGTAGATGTGGTTCCATAGCAGGTGTGATGACAGACCACGTGTTCAGCATACAGGGTGATACAATTCTTCTTAATGCCTGCATAGCAAACTCGTCCTAAGATCTGGAAGTCAAGTTTGGGTCCTTCAGTGTACTACGGCACAGTATTAAAGATTATACAACTGGGATTTAATGGACAATATTATTGACGATACACAATGTTGTTGCCCGTTCTCGAATAAGCAGATAGGCCCTGCTGGGCTAATATAAGTTAAACGTTGGTTTAGAGCCAAAAGTACAAAATGCAGACTCAAAGACATATGAAACAATATTCTAGGAAAGATGAGGCCAGTTTCACCTCAGTAATTGACACGATTGACAGGGAAATGTTAACAAGTACTGTACATGAGCAATGAATGGACCAGACAGAGCGCATCACAACATGTACCGTGATAATCTGCTTGACAAAATGTCATTTATTTTTAATTGTTTTACTTCATAGCACTTAATTTATACCACACGCAGAACGCTGATGTTTAACGGAGCAACATCTTAGTCAAACAGGCTTCTTAGAAGCCTCAGTACTGTGATCTACCGTTAAATCTTTGCTGAAAAGTGGGTACAGCCCATCAGTTTCCTTATGTGACATGTAAGGTTGGCATCGGTGAACCCGTTTTAGTGTTCATAGGGCTAGAAGAGACCTCAGGAGGCCATCGAGTCCAACCTCTTGCCCAAAGCAGGACCAACCCCAACTCAATCATCCCAAATAAACTATAAAAACAACAAATAGTCCTGTAGCACTTTAAGGACTAGCAAAGCATGTAGATGGGATCATAGAATCATAGAATCATAGGACTGGAAGGGACCTCGAGAGGTCATCGAGTCCAGCCCCCCGCCCTCAAGGCAGGATCAAGCTCCGTCTACACCATCCCTGACAGATGTCTATCTAACCTGTTCTTAAATATCTCCAGTGAGGGAGATTCCACCACCTCCCTTGGCAATTTATTCCAATATTTAACCACCCTGACAGTTAGGAATTTTTTCCTAATGTCCAATCTAAACCTCCCCTGCTGCACTTTAAGCCCATTACTCCTTGTCCTGTAATCCCACATCATGAGCTTTCTTGGGCACAGCCCACTTCTGTGGATGTCTAGAACTAAAATAAATGGGGAGGGGGGAATGAAAGGGGGAGGGAACAATTAGAGGCAGTAGGTATAAAAATATCAAGGGGAAAGCTGAGCTGGAATGTAACAGGAAAAACAAACAGTCTATAAGTACCTAAAGACTGAATAGTCAAAAAAGGCAGATAAGAACCATTAGTGGGCGATTAGAGAGGAAGAGTACTAACAGCAGATCCTATACAGACAAAGAGCTATTGGCACTTTCATTGTTTGGTAGTTTGATAATGTCCCAGCCATCTGGTGTCTTTATTTTATCCATTAGCATGAGTATCAAACTTGTGAACGAATTGTAGTTCCAGTCCTTCCCTGTGTATTTGGCTTATGGAATTAGTCTGTAACAAAACAGCCACTTGAATCATAGAATCATAGAATAATAGGACTGGAAGGGACCTCGAGAGGTCATCGAGTCCAGCCCCCCGCCCTCAAGGCGGGACCAAGCTCCGTCTGCGCCATCCCTGACAGATGTCTATCTAACCTGTTCTTAAATATCTCCAGAGAGGGAGATTCCACCACCTCCCTTGGCAATTTATTCCAATATTTGACCACCCTGACAGTTAGGAATTTTTTCCTAATGTCCAATCTAAACCTCCCCTGCTGCACTTTAAGCCCATTACTCCTTGTCCTGTCCTCAGAAACCAAGAGGAACAAATTTTCTCCTTCCTCCTTGTGACACCCTTTTAGATATTTGAAAACCGCTATCATGTCCCCCCTTAATCTTCTTTTTTCCAAGATCTGTTAATGAAGATCTTTTTTGAAGATCTGTTAATGAATGCCCAGGCAGACTCAAGTGTTTCCCAACAGATTTTGTATGTTCCCTTTACGGATATTTGATTTGTGTCCATTAATTCTTTCCCATAGGGACTGTCCACTTTGTCCAATATATACAGGCAGTCCCCGGGAACCCGATTTGGTGGCTTATGTGGTTGGCTCCAGTAATGAATTCTCTTGTATAGATATGTGGGCAGAGTTGGCATTGGGGCTGATTGCAGGGCTGGGTTCCTGGATGTTTATGATGTAGCTGTGTAGCATGGTTACCGGAGAGAATTCATTTCGTGTTTTGTTAGTCTTTAAAGTGCTACCAGACTATTTGTTGTTTTTGTAAGTGTATCCTGTACACACTCACTTGGCTATCCCCTGAAGCATCTGATGAAGTGGGTTTTGCTCATGATACGCTGTATTTTTTATTAGTCCCTAAGACCACTCATTGTTTTTCAAGTTATAGACTGACGCAGCTGCCCCTGAGACTTTTTGACATAGGTGAGTAATTCCAATTCAGCTTTCCTATGTCAAATTAAGCACAGGCATAAGCATGTTCATTAATAGCAGCTAGATAGGCATACTAAGCTTTGCACAAAACACCTTAGGGGCTGAAAATGTAAATGAGGAGTTTATATGTCTGCGGATTATTAGTTTTTCCAGTGTGGGGAATCCATTCTGGTTCCAATATTATATAGTCTGACACACCCGCACATGCACCTCCCTATCCATCCACCGCTGAAAATCTAAGCTCTAGATCTTGTCTGCACAGAGCACAGTGTGTGATTGGGAAACTAAAAGAGCTAAGCAGAAACATGGAGGGCGGGAGGGGGAGAATAAGTATTTCGCTCTACTGAAATGCTTTGGAGCGGGAGGGATAGAAGGGGAAGTGATGACTTTTCGGATAGAATAAGAGGAACTTTTGTCTCCATTGTTCTCTGCGCCTTTGGTTTGAATCGTTAGGTCTGCTGTTCTCGGGGGAGGGGGGGCATCTTGTGACTGATGTTTTCAGGGTTTTCAGATGCGTTTGGCTCCTACACAGCGTATCCCGCAAGGGGGGGATGGACACACAGCCTGGGGAATCAGAGGGCCGCGGGGAGGGGGAGTCCGGAGCCCTGCGGGGTCAGGGGCGGCCAGCTTTAATCTCTCGTTTGAATCGTTAGGTCTGCTGTTCTCGGGGGAGGGGGGGCATCTTGTGACTGATGTTTTCAGGGTTTTCAGATGCGTTTGGCTCCTACACAGCGTATCCCGCAAGGGGGGGATGGACACACAGCCTGGGGAATCAGAGGGCCGCGGGGAGGGGGAGTCCGGAGCCCTGCGGGGTCAGGGGCGGCCAGCTTTAATCTCTCCGCCTCGCTAGCCCTGAAAATAGCCACGCGGCGCCGGGGGAGCTCCCGGGCAGGGAATGACCCAGCCGGCCGCTGCCTAAAGTCCGGTAGCAAAGATTCAACGCCAAAGGCATCGGGGGGGGGGGGGGGGGGGG